ACAAAAAAACCAAAACAACAAAAAAAACACCCACACACCACAAAAAAAAAACCCAAAACCTTTTAGCACACAGTCCTCTTCCATTCAGTTGGATTTAAGTATCAAATCAAACAATTTATTTCCTTTAAAATACCAAGAGAAAATACAAGCCATACATAGCTGCTACTCTGATTATTATTGAAAATTTATCACCAGTTACATGCTCTTTAAAGAAAACCAAAATTATCTGCTAAGCAACAGAGACAGCCCAATGGATCCGACTGAAGTGTTTCAGATTTGTATTATACATACTGAGCCTTGCTCAACATCCAACTAGTCTCTTTCACCTGGAGGTTGGTCATTAGTAAAAAAGCTATCCAAGTAGAAACAAGCGAGTTTAGCCAAAAAGGGTACCACTAGCACTAACTGAGATATTGTATTATCAAGCTGTATATGACAACTGGGAAACATCATTCAAAATATCCTTGAATGAGACAAACATGTCAATACAGAACAGATTACCAGTGTTTGCAAAATATGGTATTTTCTCCTTTCTTTGGGCAGGGATGACACCAGCTGAGATGCTAAGTGATTTTTTTTTTTCTTACTACCCCAGTAACTATACTACAGAGCTATACATAGCACTTCACCATGAAGAGATCAACTTCCAGACAAGGCTGGCTTCTGTCTTTTCTTACTGGGTCAGTGAGAAAGACCTTTGTAAATATCCATTTCAAATCCTACTGTTGAACAAGTTTTCTGTCTTGGAAGTGTTTTTTGCTGCAGCAGAAGCCAAAAGTTGTCTGGAAATAGAGGTGTGAAGAACCTTCAGAACAGTCTCTCCACTTATCAATACTTAAAAGGACACATGTTGCAACAATTAAAACAATTAAATCAATCCAGAATATTTACTCTATTGACTTGTTAAGAACAACCTTTACTCAAGCAGTCAGCATGTCACTTCCTCTTGAATACCACTGAGAATAAATGTTATAGAAAACCACAATTTTTAAAAACAATTTAGAAAATAAAGCATTTTTTCTTCCTGCCTTGCTTTTGAACCTGTTGTGGAGGGGCCAAGAGGAAGATGAAAGAGAAAGTAATTACCTGGTTACAAACAAGAAAAGCATTCCTGATCTTAGAAATATAGCTGGCAGACTACCAAAAGGGCCTCCACTAAAGAGAATACAATTTTGAAACCTTAGGAAACCTGAGTCAGAAGAAACTGGTTTGAACCATTTCCCAAGAAAATACTGCAGAGGGCTCAATAATAAAAAGACATCTTGAAAAGAATCCAGCACAACTAGCAGGACAATCAATTAGGGAAAACACGTTTAATGAATAACAAGATTCATTTTCCTCCTGCTTCATCCACAGCTTAAAATATTTTATCTCAATTTTTGTGAAGAAAGGACATAATCAAAACCAATACAGAAGGAATGCAAAAAAATTATGCTTTCAATTCTGACCTAGCCTGAAAACATAAAACAGTGAGCAAATAACAATAAACTGAAAGAAACTTAACACACAAATTACCTACATTACCAAGTAAGGCTCTCTACTAGCTGGAAGATTTTTTTTGGTTGTTTTTTTAAACCTCTCAAGTGACCAGCACCAGAAAGGAGCACTACTCACTTAGGTTAGCTGGTAAACAAAAACAACCTCTAGCCTGTAGGGCAGGAGCGTGGTAGGCAGGTGGAATGCAGGACTATCCTACAACAGTTTCTGATGTATCTGCTGTAAAATATTGTAATTTCAAGGAAGCGTTTTACTTGTTGTTACGTACTTTAATCACTGTAGTTTACCAGATGCAAATTTATGAAATGTACATATACATGAACCTTTAATCTGAAGTTAAAAAAAACCCAAAACTTCTAGTTAATAGCATTTTTCTTTTTACCAGAGGAGCCCAGTACGTGTACAGGTAGCCTATTTTCAATGCTGGTACAAACTGTGAGCAGGACACGACGAGAAAATAGAGATTCAAGAAAAACTTGAACTGTTCATATAAAACCTAAAATAAAAAACACAGAATAGATAAAAGCCTTAAAATTTGTACCCATGATGTACATAAAATTCACTTTTTCATTATAGTAGATATAAAGCCATTATATGGCATACTATTATACTATGCCACTTAATCTTTACAAATATTAAATACATAAAGACCACTATGCAAATATTTACTCTAAAATTTTAACAGTAAACAGAATTCAGATATTTGTAGAAGCATCTTGCAATAATTTTATATCCACATTAGTTACCTTTATGTTAACACAGTTACTTAAAATTTTTTTATAGTATCAATAAAAAAAGCAACATAAGTTTCTGAGTATCTGAACTTTCATTTCTTACATTAAGTTTTCACTTTTAACTGCTAAAACTTTTCTTCCCAAAAATACAGCATTAAAAATAATTTTCCTTTAAGTACCAATACTTAAATTCTCTTCTATCTGTCTCACAATGTCTTGTCTTAAAAATTTTCCTATGCTGGCCTTAAATAAAAATAATAGGCATGAAATTAACAGAAAACATTTACAAATATATTATCCTAGTCTTTGTCATTTGAACTTCTACAGAGTAACAAAACTGAGCAGGCTATACCATGCTGGCTCTTCATCACTGTGAGAATACCCTAAAACTTCAGCCCTGTCTGCAGCACATACAGAAAAATGTATACATGAAATCCTCGTTACTTTTGTTCACCGCATTCCCTCAGCACACTCTCTCAACACAACCACTGGAGTTTCTCCTCTTGCAGGGGTGGAAACTACAACTTCTTTCTGAAGTCCTTCGATTCTCAAAAGGAGGAAGGCTACCATCAAGTCAGATGCACTCCTTCAAAATTACCATTCCCCACTGTTCTTAAAAATAGTGAAACTACTCAGTGTTCAAGAATAAATGTTCTTTAGGAAGATAAAACAAATACTACAGAAAAGATCCGTGAGTAAGGGTACGCAACACTGCTCTCTTTCCAAATGGTTATCATGTGGAAATCTCAGAATAAGATGGTATTCTTCAGTTTCCATAGCAAGAAAAGCTTCTTACAAAAGCAACCACAGTTCAGGTTTTTAAAAAGTTTAAACTACAAAAAGTTTGTAACAGAATAATATGGGCTTTTGAGGTAATTTAGAAGAAATGCTCAGCAATATATTTCCCAAAAGATTATTTTGCAATAAATACTGGCACATAAGATGTGTCTATTAATAAATCAAAGGTTTGGTCTAAACTCCAAGATAATTGTCCAAGTTTTAAGTGAGGACACAGTAACCGCAGCACAGAATACACCATCCCATATTCCAAAGGAATGACAGATGCAGAGATTACTTTGGTAATTAAAAGCACCACTTCGGCAAGCACATGTCCTCAACATTGCTTTAGTTATAATCACAATACTAAGAACATTATTCATTTTAGAGTTTTGAATCTTCAAAGGCTTCATTCACATATTTCTCTAGTAGGTCAGGATAACATGACATCTCCAACAGAATGATCAGAAGTGGCTGCTGAACTTACAACACCGAGACTTAAGAAAATGGATAATCAATTGTTTCAAAGCTAGAAGATTCAAAATAGATCAAAAAGCCACATTTAAAGAGTGTCTCCATCTTTTACTCTTATAATTCAGTTAATACTACAATGACTTATGCATGAAAATCAAAGCTATTGGACAGGTATCTATTGCTCTTATCAGTCCAACATTATTACTCAATTATGTAAAAGCCTATGAGCTAGGAAAAAAATATTCAAGCAAGTTCACGTCAAAGTGTCTTTCTGACAGGCACAACAAAGTAGCAGTACCTCAAAATCACCAGTTTCTTGCAAGAGCGATATACTACTGTTCAGCTACCAGCTACTTCAACAGCCTCAAATCAGAAGATTTTTTTTCAAAAGGTGGAATTCTGTTCCACTATTTACCAAAACTGTAAAGCCAGAAAAAGTCAAATTTGAAGTTGCAGTGGAAGTTGGAGCATTCTTCTAAAATAAAACTAATTCAGCTTGAACCTGTACCTTATGTTAATATCCATGAAGTTCATAAACATACTGCTAGAAGTGAGTATAACAATTTAAAAAGACTTGACATACCAGGTCAAAGAAAAGTCCACAGAGTACTTTGGGAGGTGCAGATCTGCAAGAGCACCATCTTGCAGGACAACATGGGAGTTAAAAAGCACCTTCCTACAAGTCTTTTGAATCCTGGCAGACCACTGACAGTTCATTAAATATGAAGCTAAACACTTCAGTCCTGTTAAGCAAACTGAAAAGTCTCCAGTTGCATGAAACTGATTAAAAAAACCAAACAGACTACTGCTTTGATTTCAGAAGTATCTTAAAAACCTGCCCAGCACAGAAGATATTCTTTATGGAAATTTACAGAATATTCCTAAGCAGCTGGACCAAGATACATACGAAATGGTAAACAGAAACTGAACAAACTGGTGTAAAGGTAGAAGCACCAAGTATTTTATATAAATGTTAGGAAATTAGGTAATGTTACAGGTCTTTTAGCCAGTAAGTAAAATTCTGTTAATCTAAACATTATTTCAAGTTCACATTTTGATATGAAATCATTGAATATTACCCATTGCCAGCCACAATGTTAAAAAAGATACAACTCTAAACAGAAGACAAAACTTCACATGATGAAATTCCAACCAGGGTAAATCACTGGAGTCAATATTTACGACGTAGTAACACTTATGGGTTTGGAACCTACAGGACCGTGTTCCCTACAAATTACTTCTAGTGGAACAGCATAAAACCCAGAGAGCTACACAGTACTTCTAATCAATGAAAAGTGCTGATTTATGTCTAAAATTAAAATTTAGAAACGTCTTGTTTTCACCAACTATTGTATTTTACATTTAGGATCTCACTTAATTTTGAAGTTACAACTGAGTTTCCAAATACCACCACCAAAAATAAAAATCTTATTCTGCCTATACCATAAAAACCAAGACTTTTGAGAGATCGAAAAAGAACAAACATTCTCTCTCTCAACAGGTAATTGTAAGCTATAGCTGATCCCTATAGGAAACATGAATCTAGCTTCAGATTTGTAATCTACACTGCATATTTCTAGTCACAATAATCAATGGCTTAGTATATGCTTAATGAATTTTGTGACCTTTAGGAAAGCGTATGTGGCTTAACCAGTTTCAGTGTATTTAATAATTTAAACTTCAGAAGAAAACATTTACTTCGTTCGATAGAGATGAGAATACTTTATCCGCCTGTTGATAAGTGACATTTTATTTCTTTGACAGGAGATCAGTCTTAATTACAAAGCCATTAATTTTTTTTGTTGTTTTAATAAAGAAATGTATTAGAAAGCACCTGCCAGTCATTGGACGAATGAGGCCAGAAGAATAGAATCAATACTCTTATAAACCAGCATGATCACTTAAATAAAAAATTTAAGACAAAGCATGTCTGTATTCATATGCAGAAGACATTTAGTTTTTACAATAGAACACAGGACTCTTGGACAGTATTAGTGAAAGTATGAGTAAAAGCGTATGAATCAAATTTATAATCACAGCAGCATACATTTTTAGGTTTTAACTACTGAACGTAAAAAAAAATTTCTCTATTGCTGTACTTCATTATAACAAATTATACAAATTATTTTAAAAGTATGAAGTTGACAAAACTGTAATGTCTCTTTTGTCTTCACATACACTGTGAACTTTATAGGCCAAAAACTGAAATCAAGACACAGTACGTCTTCTTGGAAAAAAGTGACAAAAAAACCTTACACTCCACAACAAAAGTACTGTCTGAAGAATTGCATTCAAAACCAAAAAGACATCACAATTTTTAAAACTGCAATAAGAAATACAACTCTGAAAAGTACTAGGTTACTAAACTAGGCCTTACTTGTCATATAAATTGAAGAGGTGAGAGTTGTTTTTGTCATTTAAGGAGTTGCCTGTTTCAGAATACATTATTTATTATTGTGTCATACTCCCTGCCATTGAAAGCATATCTATGGGAATACATTGCAATTTTCAACTATTTATTTCTCAGTTAAAGTCAGTGCTTTGCAGTATTTTCACTACTGACTGTATACAAGTGCTTCTGTTTTAAAGAGGATTAGAAATTTCTAATGATTAATAGAAATGTGCAAGGAAGCCCACCTCAAATTTCTAAAGCTTCACTGAATTCCAACCACTCATTCATACACACTGCACTTTAGTAAATAGCCCTTTGAAAACAAAATAACTTAGAAAAAAAGCAGCCTTGCTCTCAAACTGTCAATTTCAATTGAAGACATCAAGATAAACATAAAAAGAAAAAGAAGAATCTGCACAAATAAAATTATCTTTTTGCAGAATCTACAGAACACATAGTCAGCCCAACATCAAAAAAAAATGTTTAGTAGCCTTACCCCAGGTATAAAGGTAAAGACGTTGTACTTTTGATTTTTTATGGCATTTTTGGGATATTTTTCTTCACACTTTTCAGGACACCCAAGCCACACTGTGCGAGCCTTCAGCTCTTTCTTTCTTCGGCAAATGTTTATAAGCCAATCAGAACAACTGTAAAGAAAAACAATTGTTTACTTTAAAACTAAAAATTTCCTATATGAGATTAGCATTTCCAAACCTGGAACCCTAAAGGCAAATACCTAAGAAAAACAGGCTTAAGCAAGCATGATGTTGACTAGTAATATTTAGTGCAATTACACAGTACTCAACTCATTCAGATGTACATAACCACTTGCACGTTCTTTACAGGAAATCCTAATAAAATAATGACAAATTTCACTACACCTCGCCCTGACATGGGTTCAAAAAATTCTAGTTAATACAACTCTGTATTAGCAGTGACTGAATTGCCCCACCATTACATAATTAAGTCATCCGTCATACCTTACAGTCATTTGGTTAAACTCTTTATATTGTATTATTGATAATCAAATTATGCTAATGATTGAAAAGGAAATAAGACTTCTGTTAGATAAAGCTAGAAAAATTTTTACAGCTTTGTATGTAATTCCCAAATAATTTGTGAATCTTGGTTTCCTCCATAAAACTGCCTATAGCAGACAAAACAGGGAAGCATACCTAATGCCACACCATCAAATGTTTTTAACCAAAAGAAAAAAAAAAAAACAACACAACAAATCACTATGCAAATGCAGATCACACAACGATCTGCAATGGTGAACTTCAGTTCACAGGAGAAAGAGTGAGCATCTTTGCCTAACTAGCTTAGAAATCTACTGAAGAAGGTTTAAAACTATGAGCAATGAGACAGACAGGAAGAGCTTAAAGCCACCTTTAAACAACTGCAATTTGGTCAAGGACAAAGGAACGATGGGATAAGATCACAAGGTAGGAGGAACAAAAGGCTGGCAGAGGAACGATGCCACTGAGGCTCAGCAGACTGTTTTCTACCAGTAATACAAGACACAAACATGGACGTGACTTACCTCATGAAATACAACCAACCTAAGACCTGCTAAGACTATCCGCAGGGGTAGATTGTTAACACAATTATGTACAGACGGTTTGGAAAGAACTGGTAGTGTGGAAAGAAAGGCAGGTTTGCCACACACTGTATATACTTGTTTTACAATCCTGTATGTTAGAGAATTTCTCTGCATTTTTTAATACTGGAGGGAGGTGCTTTAATCATTTTGTGAGTCTGTTTTAGGCAAGTGAATCAGGAAGACAGCAGACAGCCCGTCCATGAGCACCTACTGCAGCTGAAGCACAGACCTAGCTGGTCACAGTGGATTTCACCAACATCAGGAGGTGAAGTTGAAGGTGAAGGGAAGTGACACGTTTCCTAGTGAGGTTTATGAATATACTGACAATATTTTTGATGAAAGGAGAAAAAAAAAAAGTAACCGCTGGGAAGCTCTTGTAAGTTGTATTCAAACCAGCAGAAAGGATTTTGCTGAGAACAGGAAGGGAAAATTATGATCCACGCACCCCAGCATTGTTTCCTGGATTAATTCTGTATAGTCAACCTATTTGTATGTACTTGTACACACCTAAAAGAAAACAAAGCCATAACCAACACTGACCTGTCAAGAGCAATCTCAGAAATTGAACTGATTTCCCTCTGAGAAGAACCTCACGCACTGCTCCTTGAGAGTACACATCCTCTCTTGACACCTGGGGCTTTGAGCACCCTGATCCATGGCCAGGGAGGTTAGACTAGAAAATCTTTAAAGGTCCCTTCCAACCCAAATCATTCTATGATTCTGTGTCTCTAATAAAATGTAGGTCTCAAGATATTTCTCATAAGGAAAGGAACTGACACAGCTGGAAAAAAAAATCGTAATTGCAGAGTAGTTTGTTATAAAACCAAAATAAATTCAGTGAAGTTCTGCAAAGCTTTATCTAGAACTTACTGGGTAATGGAGTATCAAATATTTCATTTTTCAGACAACAAAATCCTAGAAGAGACAGGAGTACGTGCAAAGCGATTAGAATGCAAAGCTGTCTTGACAGATTGGAAAAACTCTCTCTAAAAGATAGAATGCAGTTAAACAAGCAAAAGCACAACACAGTACGTTTACACAGAAATAATCAGCTATGCAAATACAGAATTAGAAAAGCATTAGTAGATGGCAGATCAGAAGAGAAGGACTCAGTTACTGCTGAGAATGAGCAAAAAAAGGCATGTATCTGGTCAGCGTGGACAGGCGTACTGCTAGCAAGTCATGAATGTGTTCCTTTTTCTCAATCCAGTGCTAGCAAGATCTCAGTTGACTTACAATACCATTATGAATACCAAAATTCAAACAGGTCTATCAGGAAAACAAAGACCACACACAAAAGCAGCAAAACAATTGTAGGTCTAGAAAGCAGGGCAAGGTTGTCTACTAGATACATGGAAAGAAACAGGAGTTGTTCAGAGAAGGCCGAGTGTGGACCTAATAAAGTTTCAAGTATGTAAGAAAAAGCTGCAAAGAAGAAAAGGACAATTATTCTCCACCTAGAGAATAACACCATGATTAAGTAATGATGGACTTCAACTGTGGCAAATAAGTAAGGGGAGGAACTGACATCGAGTAAACACTTCTAATGACTAGGGTGGAAAGAAACACTTAAGGGGGCTGGAATTCCTACCACTGCAGGTCTCTAAGATCTGGTTAGATCAGACATAAGTGATAGGAGTAATTCATCCTGTGCAGGCAAGGAATCAACTGGATGACCTCTTAAGATCCTTTCCTATTCTGTTCTTCAGCTATTACAGAATCATGGTACACACAAATGTGCAGGGAAGGAAGGCTGATAGTTAGCTTCCATCGCCCGAGTCCCACTTTAAATGTTCTTGTCTGTAGCCTACATTATCCCAGGCCTATTGCAAAGTAATTTTGCCAAAGAACAAATGGAATTCAAAGTTGCAGGCTCTTCTTAAAGAAAACTAGAAGTTACGCAATAGTAAAATCTTTCACTTTGTTACGGAAATGCCACCACACCAATACTCACAAGTTGACATTTAACACTTCAGTTTTAAATGCTGGATTCTTAAGATTTCCTCCCTGAAGCTTTCACTGTGGTATGGACAATTTCGTTTGATCCTACATAAACATGCATTTTATTTTTGTTACAAATATAAGCCCATTCAGCATCTTTTTCCCATCACTTTTAAATAGTGAAAAAGAATTATTCTATCGTAAAAAATTGTGTAAGTTCAACAATCAAAATTCAGCCCTGTTACTTAGTAACATAGAAGTCTGAAAAATCAAGTTATGTTGATCATTACTTAAATTTGTCTTTAAAGCAAAATGAACAGCAATCTTCCTATGCCATGGTTCCACCATCAGTTCAACAGCCGTGAACCTATCCTTCTGCTGCCAAAATGGTTAGTACCACCCTCCTCCCGTAGCAAAGGTGTGAATTCTGGCCCCTTCCCTTGTGCTGACACTACTACTCATGCAACTGCATGGGTAAGCCAGACCCGCAAATTAATCCAGCTGTAAACTGACACAGAATAAAAGGGGGACTATTTTCAGTTAGATCCACCCCCGATCTTTAAAATCTATTAAAACAAAAAAGTAAGAATAGTTGAAACAACGCAGGCTACATGCTTGCAGGAGAAGGTGGAACAATTCCACTCAGTGCCAGCTTGGATTTACACTTGATAAAACTGCTCATGGAATTAAACTAACATTATTAGTTTCCAGGGCAGGGGGGTGGGGACAATACAAACAGAAGAGACAGCTTAGCTGCATAGTAAGAAGTGTCAAGACAGATCTGTAGCAAAAAAAGTTCCAAGAAAAATATGTTTTTCCAGGGAAAGCGAACAAGCATGACAGCTTCTGTCTACAAGCCTGTACACAGAAGTTTCCTGACAGCCTTTGAAATCTTGCATTGCTTAAATCAGTTTTTAAATTTAAACTGTAAACAGACTGAACATTTGACTAGGTACAGTCACTTTTGCAGAATAATTTCCTCAGACACTGAGGACTTTTCTAATACTAAAATTAAACATTTGAGTGAAGCAACTGAATTATACTGCCTTCCTTGCCATGAGTTTCCCCCTTCTTAAAACTACTTTTTCCATTAGAGATCGACAGAGAAGCTGAAACAGATGCCATAATGACCATTAGTTTAGCAAATGCCAAAAAAGTACAGACACAAGAATGATGTCTGAGAAACAATTGTGATACCTTTGATAAAAGGGATTGGACTGACACAGAGCTAACAACACTCAAGTTCTCAGATGAAAGAAAATCTCAAATGATGGCAATATTATAGTATGCCCAAATCAGTATCGTAACGGTTCAGATGAGTTTTACGACCTTAAAAGTAAAAACCAGTTAGATTCTGCAATTTACAGTCTTAGCAGTAATCACTATTGTATCACAGGAAGAGTAAGAGGGAGACATGCTGGCCTCAGAAATCCTAATCAATTTACATTAATTCAGTTTTTTAAGAACAATTAAGTCTACCCAATATTTTTGAAACTCAGATTATCAACAGCCAACACATACTTAATCTGTTGTCAAATTAATATCTCCCAATACAGAAACTATTTTTGTCCAAGGGTATGGACTTTTTGTACCCACTAAATATGTGTGAAACAAGCATCAGGAGATAAATCAGAACAACATTCTCCAAGTTTCAAATGTCCTAAAAACATAACGTAAGACGTAGCATGATCAAGACTCACTCTAGATTTTCCTGAAATCTTTCATGTAAAACCACACCTTATGCTATGGATTCAGCAATTAAAAAAAATCACATTCTTTATTGATTTAAGCATTTATTTCAAATGCCCTTGACCAGAAAATTCAACACATGCACAGAAAGCTTTTTTTCTTAAGCTAGCAATAAGTCATGTTGCCTATATTTTATATTGTACAGATTGTATAGATGAAGAAATTAACTCATTCATAAAAGAACTTTAAGGTATGTCTATTAAATAGCCTTTTACCAACCTGCTTACTAACGTGTTTGGTTTTTTTTATTTGAAGGAACAACAACCAAAGTCTTCATATTAGTAACTGTTGCCATATTAAAAAAAAATAAAAATCACCAACAACAAAAAAAATGGAGTAATTGTTAAATAAGAACCCTTAACTTTTTCATAAATAGAGCGCATCTCCCCAAGTCAAAAGCTAAAGTAAAAGTCTCAACTGACTCTGCAGCTCTAATAATAAAGGCTTTTTTTATTTTCTCTTTTCATTACTTTTATCCTACAAGCTTAACTGCCAGTATCTTTCACAAAACAGCATTTTCATCAGAAAGGAAAGATAATATAAAAGCTCTATATTGTCTGCAAGGGTCAGCTTTTCCTTATTAGGTTTTAAGTAGCAGAAACTAGTTCTGCAAAGAAAACATACTGTAATTATTGTACTCAACAGGTAGCTTCAGTAATCAGGCCAAAAGCAACACAGTGGTCATGTCATTCTTAAAAGATCAGCATTTTCCCATGCTTCTGCATAACAAATGCATTGCAGATTAATTGAAAGCGTACAGGCCATCTTAGAGCCCAAATTAATCCGAGCATTTGATATCCCCTTCACTTCATATGGAAATGCCATTCAATGGCACCATTTTCATAGGGACAAAGTGTTTTTTGATAACAAGTGGAATGTAAATCTCATGAGAAAGAAATCAATCCAGCCCAAAGAACTACAGAGTATTGATCTATGTGCATTATAATTTCACAAGCTTGAAGAGAATTTGTAAGTTAAAGGGGAAATGATTACAACCACAAAACAGCTGCTATACACAAAGTTTTCTTTTAACGGTGCTATGAAAGCAAGAAATAAGCAGTTTCTGAAGTTAAAAGTTATATTGGTTGAATTAAGTCTTCAGTTTGTTCAAAATCAAAGACAACATTTGATTTAATTATGATTTTTTTCTTGAAAATGTAAAAACTGTTTAAAGAGCTGCAGATTTGCGAATAAAATTCACACCATTCAGTTCCAATCAACAAGTCTATTGTCTAAACAGAAGTTAAAAGCTGAATAAGAGATTTTTACAAAATCAATTTTAATGTACAGTGAACTTCGTTAAACCTTCTATATTTGCTCCTGCCAAAAGGGTGAAACTTTTTCAACTAAACAATAGTTTAGCAACAAAAATCTATAGAATATAAAATTTTAAAGCTACAAAGAGATGGAAAACTTCCTGTCACAAAAATGAGATTAATCCTAACAATGCAAGACAGACAAAAGAAACTAGTGGGTATGGGGTGGTTGTTTGTTTGCAACAAGTTAAGTGATTTTGAACACAAGACTTTCACTGAGAACCCAAAAGAAACGAGGGCACCCCTGAGCTCAACTCCAGACAAATGCCTAGTCTTTTATTGCGTTCATCTTTCTGTCACAGTTTTGAAAATTTCACAATTTACTTTAAAGCACTAAAGGAAATTCTGGATGTGGAAACTGAGATTTCAATCTCACCCAGTCTCAGGTATGAGATACTAATTTCCATAAAAACACGGTGAGATTTAAACTCTCTTCAACTGAACAGGTTTCGGATTGCTATGTTGGATTTAATCTCAAATTACACTTAAAAGAATGCAGTTTGCCTTCTGGAAATAAGTTTCAGTTGCTTGCATAACATGTATAATCCACCATCAACACACATGAAAATTGTTTTCTCACATGTCCATTTCAAATGTGAAGGCATCAACACCCAATTCTATGCCAAACCGATGCTTTACACTACATAAAACCAGTATAAATCATCCTACCACACAGTGTAAGTAATAACTGCATATATGACAGCGATCCTTTCAATGATCCTAGGCAGCTTTATGATCTTTTCAATGATCCTAGGCAAGTTTATGAACTGCAAATACACATTTCAAAAATTCTAGTCTTCTATGGGTCCCAGCAAAAATTCTTAAGGTTTGATTACAATGAGGAAAATGTCAAAAAACATCTTAACATTGACTGCACATCCCTGACTTTTATCAATAACAAAGCCTTAATGGTGCGCTCAGCCCAGAAAAAAACACCCTATCACCATGACAGGTATTTACGAACTCACTCAGAAGTGCTCACCCAAGCTGACTTTTTTATCCAGCCTGACCAGACCAGCAGATAACATACCATGTGATTCACCTTCCTTGCAGCTAATTTTTCCCATCTCATTTAAGCAGATGTCTGCAGCTTTCCTGTGGAAGTATCCTCTGCCTGCTAATATCCTATTGAAATTTCAATCTTCTGCTAGGATTTGGTGGTCACCCTTTTTATTTTTCAGAGAGATTTTTTTTTTCCATGAAAAATGAAAGTAATCTGCTATGATGTTCTGTTATAGAAAACACAAATGTGATTAAAATGCCTCTAGGTATAAATAAAAGACTGAATAGTCTCTTTATTGTGTCCAAATTCAGTTGAGGAAATCAGCAAAGCAGAAGTCATACTCCTCCTCTAAGGCCTCTTTCTTAGTAAGGGATTTTCTTTTACACACCTGCATTTGTAGTAAAATATGTATAATATGTAGCAAAATAATGAATCCATAATGCAATTTCCTTGCTCTTTTCATTCTCAAAAATCCATCACAAATATGGCTCACGTATTCTAATTAATAAGTTCTAATAATTTTGAAAGTTTCTAGGCTTGAGTTCCACTTAAAGCTGAAATGTACATATCAATTTTTAAAAGCACACAAGAACACGAAATTTTGCAATCCTCAGCATTAATGACACCTTCTTGTCACTTTCTCTTACAATTGTTTATTAGTTCCAACATAAACTCATCTTGCAATTGCCTAACTCTGTCCAAACACTCTAAATTCTCTGTCAGGGCAACTACAGGGTGTGGTCTTTACTGGTCTACCTGTTTTCATGAAACCTACAGGAATGTAATTATCCTAACTAATACTCATTAATACTTCAAGAGCTGAACTCACCTAAAGTATATTGTTTGAAAGGTATCTCAATTTTAGGATATGTCCAAAAGACTAACAGTCTCTTTAAGTGTTTAAAGATGTTTTTCAAAAACTACAATGGTAATTCTGTAACAGAAACAGTGCTTCCAGAAATCATGTATGTATACAAATGCTGCTTCTGTAAACTTTGCTACCTTACTTCCTTCCTGCTACTTTCCAAACACTTACTCTACATAATAAAATTACTAATCCATGAGCTTTTGTTAAATCATTATAGAAAAAATAAATCAACATAGATTATTTTTTTCTGCAAACAGTAAAGTTGTATAATAAAATTATTTAAAAACTAAAGGTGCAAAAATACAGCTTTGCTTAGGTAAATCAACAGTATCAGATCTCTTGGAATTTAGATAAATCAATTCTAAAATCATCTGTCAAAAAAAGTATTCATAATTTAGGTTCACTGAAAACGCTTCACTTACTTCACTTGACCGATTCTCAGATTTTATCATTCAAAATTAAAAAAACCCAACATGATTCTTAATCATCCTAACAGCAATTTCTGTATTTAGAAATTTGCTAGCAATTCATTAGAAAGTTACTATTCCAAGGCAATTGCACAGAAAAGAGTTTAGCACAAAAATTTTCTAAATAAGAACCAAATCACAAGAGCTAATTCCAGCTGTAGTTTACTGCAAGGCCACCAGTTACATGTATTCTTTAACCTTTAAAGCTGAAGTGTTAACTAATCATTAGTTAATGAATTTGCTTTTTCTTTCCAGCAACACCAATAAAACTTATTTATTGTCAACTTAACACATTAATGCCTTCAAAATAAAAGAAAGTTTTAACCCCTCCATCCTGATGTGGTTTTGAGTAGAAGTGAGGACCAGGCTTGTACACCATATTACAGACCTCAGACTAGTACAAGTTTAGGACGTTATCTCTCTTAAAAGCCTCTCTTTCTTGCAAGTCAGGCAGACAGAAGTACACGGGAGCAGCTCTTAAGAACTCTTTTCATTGATGGCTGGTAATGTCCTAGTAGGGAAAATGCAGGCAAAGCAATCAAAAGATGCATGACAAGCAAATTATTGTGTTCCCGTACTCTGCACATATCACACAATACACAGTTACTATTTACTTAATTCATTTAATACTTTAATAAAAAGTACTGGTATGCAACAAACCTAGTGCAAAGGAACTTCCAGCCACCACAGATAAACCATTCTAAGCCTCTTCTTCTTTGAGAAATTCTGGCTCTTGGAAGAGTATGGTAATCACTCTCATCATTTTCAAAGCCTTCTTCTGACATCATTAGTGGCATTTCATCCAAATGAGAGGACTCATCTTCCACTTGGTATCTGGCAAAATGAAATAAAAACACTGAATAAATAGTCAATACATCATTTTTTTATTACTGGGAATCTTCTAAAGTAGCAAGTTAATTTTTGCCATATGGAATTTTACTAGAGAGATATTTTCATCTAAATATCTTATGTATTTGCGCTAACATATCAACAAGAAATTATAATTTGAGTTAAAAATGTATAATACAGCAAAAAGGCCTGCAATCGATTATAGTATAAATCACTCTAGGGAAATTCTTTTTTCTTGTATAATATGTACATACAGAGCCGCAACTTCTTTATAAGATTTTGTTAAACAGAATTTACTTGGGAAAGTTTATAGCAGATGCAAATGACTGAGTTCTCATGGAAGTACAGACTTTAGATTTCCACTGAGATTTTTCAACTTGCTTTCCTGATGCCTATTCCCATGTGCACAGGCCTCTGAGTCACACATTCTATGCAACTCATCAGTATCTTAATTTTAATTACTAAAACATTATAGTTACTTCTATAATTCTACACAAAAACATTCAGCAAGTCAAAACCGATTTGCCTGTGGGACCTATGGAAAAAACACAAAGCTAACAATGGTCCTTTCCTCTCCAGAAACTATTGTCCAGTTCAATTTTACACTTCTGGAATACTTTTTATGCCAAGAAAAAACACTGGAATATTCGATAAGAAAATTCCCCTAAATGCATGTAAGTTGAGTAACTTATTCAGTTCATATTTTTTACCATTGGGAAGACCACTGAAAGAATATGCAGTATTACTCAGGTTTCCTTTCACTGACTATTAAAAGGACTAATAAAGGTCTTAATTACAAGAAAATATTAAAAGCAATTAAACATTATAGTTAAGGAGAGATCACCTATTTTTATGCAATAACACATAAAATAACCCTTATCAATAAAAATGCATGATACAGAAGATAAACAAAATGGTCAGAAAAGCTGGCTGCACAAATGTTTACAAAATACTTGAAAATGTATCAAACTGAAGATAGAAGTAAAAACTCTAAATATATAAACATATTACTTGACACTATTGATAATGGTAGTTAATGAGTCTTTAAACAGGAACAGCTGATAAAGTATCTGACTAGAATAAATCAAAAGCTATTCTGCATATGTATCTTTAAAATTTCTCAAATACTTTACAGTTCAGAAGACTAGTAGACTACCATCAACCTATTCTTTGTCCAATATGTTATTTATCTACTGTGAAATTATTCTTGCACTGGGAGTAGTGAAGAATAATTCCTAGAGCTCAAGGGGGAAAAAAAAAACCCAAAACACAAACCAAAATCCACAAGAAAAAGGATCAAGTGACAAAAAAATATGAGCTTTTGGCACAGAATTAGTGTGTTTGACTTTTATGAAGCTGTACTGTACAGTCATCTCTTAATCTCTTACAATGTGTGTCCTGGGACTGTCCCATTTTCCCCATAGCAACCTAAAAACAATCTATACAAAAATAGTAATTAACAAAACCAAAAATCCATTCCTTTTATGTTACGGAGCAGCTGGACTGCATGGAGCTCTGCCTGGGGGATAAGGAGCCAACTGAGAGCTTCTGGCTTAGGATTAAAAAGAGGACAGGTAAAAGCAACATTACAGTGGGTGCCAGCTATCAATCACCTGAACAGAAAGAACAAGCAGATGAAGCTTCTTTACCAACAAACAGGAGCCGCCTCGCATTCGCAGGCCCTGATGTTCATGGGGGACTTCCACCACCCTGATATCTGCTGGAGGGATAACACAAAAGGACATAAGCAATCCTGAAGGGTCCTGCAGTGCTTTAACAACAACTTCCTCCTCCAAGTAATTAGAGGAGCCAATGAGGAGAGGTCCTCTGCGGAACCTCATACTCACCAAGCAAGGGGGGGGGCTCACTGGGGATGTGAAGGTCAAACACAGCCTTGGCTGCAGTGACCATGAGATGGTGGAATTCAGGATCCTGAGGGCAGGGAGGAAGGTAGCAAGCAAGCTTACAACCATGGACTTCAGGAGAACAGATCTGGCCTTTTCAAGAACTGCTTGGAAGAGTCCCATGAGATAAGGCCTTGGAGGGAAGAGGGGCCCAAAAAAGCTGATTCAAGGACCAGCTCCTCCAAGCTGAAAAGATTTCCATCCCAATGAGTAAGAAGTCAGAAAAAAATGCCAGGAGGCCTCACTGGATGAACAAGGATCAAACTCAGACACAGAAAAGCAGCACAGAGAGTGTAGAAGTAAGAACGGATAACCTGGGAGGAATACAAAAACATTGTCCAAGCATCCAGGAACAAAGCAGGGAAGGCTATAACCCAAATGGAATTGAATCTGACCAGGGATGTCAAAGACGTCTGTAAGTACATAGGTGACAAAAGGAAGACGAGGGAAAAATGTAGGCTCATCGCTGAATAAGACAGGGGACCTGGTTACACAGAACATGGAAGAGGCTGAGGTACTGAATGACTTCTTTGCCTCAGTCTTTACTGGCAAGACTGGCTTTCTGGATGCCCAGTCTCAGAGAGCAGGGGGAAGGGTTGGAACAAGGAAGATGAGGATAAGGTCAGAGAACACTTAAACAAACTGGATATATGTAAGTCTATGGGCCCTGATGAGATGCACCCATGAGTGGTGAGGGAGCTGGCAGATGTCATTGCAAGGCCACTTTCGATAATCTTTGATCAATCATGGCAACTGGGAGAAGTGACTGAAGACTGGAGGAAAACAAGTGCCACTACTGTCTTCGAGAAGGAGGACCCAGGTAGCTACAGGCCTGCCAGTCTTACCCCAATCCCTGGGAAGGTCATGGAGCAGCTCATCCTGGAAACCATTTCTAGGCATACAAAGGACATGATTATCAGGAGTAGTCAGCATGGCTTCACTAGGGGAAAGTCATGCCTGACCAGCTTGATGAACTTCTACGATGAAGTAAGTGGCCTGGTAGATGGGGGGAGAGCAGTGGATAGTGTCTACTTGGACTTCAGTAAGGCCTTCGATACTGTCTCCCATAAAATCCTTATAGACAAGCTGTTGATGCAGGGGCTGGATAAGCAGACACTGATGCAGACTGCTGAATGGCCAAGCCCAGAGGGTGGTCATCAGCAAGGTCTAGCTGGAGGCCAGTAACTAGCAATGTACCTCAGGGGTCCGTACTGGGTCCAGTCCTGTTTAACATCTTCCTTAGTGATCTAGATGATGGCACAGAGCACACGCTCAGCAAGTTTGCAGATGACACAAAACTAGAAGGAGTGTCTGACAGGCCAGATGAGAATGCTGCAATCCAGCACAAACTTGACAGGCTGGAGAAATAGATTGACAGGAACCTCAGGAAGCTCAGCAAGGGGAAGTGCAGATTCCTGCACGTGGCAAGGAATAAACCTCCACACCAGTATATGCTGGGAGCCACCCAGCTGAAAAGGAGCTTGGCAGAAAAAAAACTGGAGATCCTGGTGGAAACCAGGTTGAACATAAGCCAGCAGTGACACAGAAGAGCACCCTGAGCAGGATTCAATCCAAAATCTTGATAGACAAACCCAGTATTTTAAAAAGAAAGTAACATTACAAACACCAGGACTAAGCATGAGAAACACCACCACTGGCTTTGTATTCTCCTCAATGTAAGTATATTTAACACAAAAAATCTAAAATCATTTCCTTTTCCTCTGGATTTTCTGTGTTGCGCCCTGTTGTATGCAGGCACATATTAAAGCAGTTATTAACCTTTTGGGATGCCAGGAAAGGAAGGGGTGGAGAACTGTATTGTAGTATTAGATTTCTCTTGAAAAGGTACACCACCTGCTCTACACTGGCTATGTAATAAATTGGTATCAACACAGTTAAGAAGGAAGATTAATAAGGAAGGAAAGAAAAAAAAACCCACACCCAAATTCCACTATCAGTTAACCTGTCATTAGCTAGACACTTCCTCTTTTGGTTGGCAGTTGATGCACCTCCTTTGAATCACTTGGTATGGGACATCATTAAGGGATGTTAACAATGCGTTCAGACATGATTAGAAAATAATGCATAACTTCAAAAAATAATAAACACACACCTATATTCCCCAGCTGCAAGTCAATGAGTATCGGAACCTTAAGCATATTAGACCTTGTGAAGAAAAATCTTCATCTGTTTCAAATAAAGCAAAAGCACAACCACACTGCAGAAAACACAACAAAAGTTTCAAACTGCATAAATTTGTTAAAAGTTATGAGCTCCCTGAATATTAGTTATGGGAAAATATGGGATGGAAAATACTTTCAGAATTATTACCACTAGTAACCGCTCAAAAAAAGGAAAATGAAGTTTAAAACAAACAAAAAACGATCTTCACAAACAATGTTGTTTGCAAAAAGCTGCAACTAATGTTTAGTTTAAGATGGCAATCTGGCAATATGTTTTCCATCCCCATTACTATCTACAGTCATTAAGAAAAAACACTATACAAAAAATTGTCTTTATAAACCAGAGCAGTTATTACAGGTTAACATGTATATTACGCTAAATTATATGGATTACTCTTAGACTACACTAATTTTAACACTAGACAATAAAACCACTGCTTAGAAAAAACTTAAGACATTATGCTATGACTCCCAGTAAGACAGGCCTGTGTTTAAACAGATTCACATTCAATGCTTTTATAATCTCTCCTGGTTAAATTTGCAAATTACGTTATAACAGTTTTAATATAGAGCTTTTCGTTGCATTGTGTTTTGCTTTTAGACATTCAAAGAATTAATAGCGTATTTGTAACACCATCCAGTGAAATCACAATCTGCTAGCTGTACTAGGGTATACAGCAAGATATTGCAAAGTAACAGATTCCTTTTACTTCTGCACAAAGTTAACAAGTGTCTGATTCAGAAAATAATATCCTTTATATACAAAAGTAACACAGCAAACATGGTTAAAGTCTCTCTTGAAGGAACATGCTAATGCAAGAGAATTATGGGAGAGAGACTCAGCTGAGAAACACATTCACAGATATGCATAGTATTTAAATTTATTCTTGTAAATGAAGTTATATTTGCAGAGTACATTGATGTCCTAATCATAATTTAAGGGGTTTTCACCATTCTATTATAAAAAAAAAGTATTTTTTTCCCCCAATCAGTATCTCAGTTTGCACTTTTAAATATGGAGCTTCACCAAGTACTGAAGATAATGAGTATAAGCACCATCATGTTTAGTAATCCTGACTTCAAAATACAGCCTCTGAACTGGCAAGCAATTTACTCTGTTTCAAAAGCAATTTTGCTATTGTGTTGGAAAATTGTACTTCAGTATTTAAAAACAATAAGATAATGAATAATGGATTTTTCATAACTAGGATAAGGACAAAAATCTTTGTGCCTTTGTTACCTAGTATTTTTCTGCACTTAATTGCTTGAAGTGCTGATTTTCCTTGAGTGACAAATCAATTAAGTATAATCCTAGAAACTTTTATTAAAATAGGGAAGCACTGAAAGCAACATGAATAAAGAAGCCAGAGTGAAGACATCAAAACTCTCAGCATGAGTGCTACTAAATCAGGTATGAAGACAGCTATCTTGACAAAAATATGGTTTCCTAAAGAAAAAGGAACATTAATATTAAACAACTTCCAACAAAATCTGACTACTATTAGGAATATCGTTTCACAGATGTAAGTGAAAGAAAACCATGTACAATAAATACTTTTAAATGAAATTTTGATATAAACATCTGCTGTGAAAATGATGCCTCAAGTCACCTGTAGCTACATCACTCTACTTTGATGGCTGTTTGCCAGAGCAGATGCAACTGCAGTTCCATGGGTGCCATAAGTGGTAATGGAAATCGTTTTAAGTCATCCAAATCTATTTCTGCATTTTCTGCCAGCTTTCCATTGTTCTAAAAGTTCAAGGGTGCAGCAGGAAGGTGCAACGGGCAGGGCAGTCATGCCTGCATGTTTTTCTGGGTTTACTCACTTGACAAACACAGAAAAATCCATCATAGGTACTGCTTCTATCTGCCTGCTTAAAACACCTAGGTAGGATAAAAGCACTGTATCAGACGCTGCATAAATACTGTTTCCTTGTTGCCTATCACTAGTGCTATACACCATAATTCAAAAGAAGGAAAAACAAAGCTGATGTCTTAAAGCAGTATTTCTCAAATCTACTGAGGGAGGAATATGGGGCCACAAGTCTATACAGGAATTGGACAGGAGAATTGGACAGGAGCTGGCTGTGCAATGCAGAGCACCACGGGAAGAGCAGCAGCAGTGGAAAAAGTTACAGCTGAGCATTTGAGTAGAAACGCTAAGAAAGACCAGTTACTGGCACTTAAGCTACCACCACTTGCCACTATGACCACGTCCCATCCCACCAAGCACTGGAGATTTCGCTCAGTGGCTGCTGCCAACCACAGGACTCCCTCTGCTTCTGGTCATGGGCAGGTGAAAGACTGAGGGAGTAAGCAGCACAATCTATCTCAGCCATATCCTGCTCTACCTCTAGTAATTCCTCCAAGGGTTAACCTAGGTGAACCCTTTCCCAGTCTGAGGATAAAGGAGACTGCCAAACTGTAGAGATGCAGTAGGAGGAATAATGAAGAAAGCGACAGGCGTATTTATATAAAGAGCAAGAATTGTTTCTTAAAGGACAAACCACTAAAGCATCAACTGCTGTAGGCTGCCAGTATCACTGACGTATCCTGTCCTGTGACAAAGAAAAAAAAACACCCAGGAAACTGCACAGCATCAGGAAGAATTTTATTAAGAAATGTACATTCATCCATAACCATGCTTATAAGTATATGACGTATATGACATGTTTTCATATAACTACTCCTCTTAGTCAAGCATCCAGTGTCTCCATAAAACACTGCTTTGCTAGAAAAATCAGAGTACGAAT